CACCTACATTAAAAGTACAGTATTTAGATCATTATACCCTGGAATATAATATTCATAAAGATGTTTTCATTAGTGTACAATCACCTGAAAATAACAGTTGTTGTGTTTTTGTTACCTGGAGTCCGCTATGTTGAACCACCATGTTGGAAACGCTATGTATCACAATACAGGGGTTATGATTCAATGAATATATATTTAATATTGTGATATTAAATATATCAAGCAAGTTGATATATTGCATTTTTTTAAAACTAAAGCTATCATAGTATAAAGAACACACCATATAAATAAAATCTAAGTAAAAATAAACTTTTTAATGCAATTCGAACAGAGGGATCTGCATTTGTACTTATCACAGTCCCCGTGACATCCAACTCAACAGCCCTCAATTTACATTTACAATATTGCGTATGTTCGTATTTATATAACTGCACAGCACTAGTGGCGTGCAAAAGGTTCTACTTAGTTTAGGGTTCAGGGGACGAAACATTGGTGGCAGGAGGTTAAAATTCATATCCCCATTCATATCAAAGTATGCATGAAAAACATTTAAGTTGAACATTGTAAAGCCCTAAATGTTGATTGCAATATGTTCATCGCTGGTGATTTTTTTTACTGATTGTCAACTAATCCCGTGAAAAGTCCAAAACAAACAATATGTTCGTCTGTCTGAATACTTTCTTCTCTCCCCTGTCAGTGGCTCTCAGTCACAAGCCCGTTGGTTCCTAGTGAAAATGTAAATCTTTAAGAAGAATATTTTAAATATTATAACTCACAGAGAAAAAAATTGTGCATTTGCTGGGGACTATTTTCAGTGGTGGATTAATCCACATTTGGTGCTCTGGTGAGTATTTGGGGCAGCAGGACGGTATTTGTGGCATTAAGTCAAAATAAACTACAGCGTGTGTTCATGGTAATAAGGAATATGTCAGTCACTGCAACAGTGTGGGTCATTGATGTGTTTTTAATACAACAGTGGAGCTCTATGGCACAGAGGAAGAGGATATATCAGACACACACACACACATTGATTGCTTTGGTCTGCACAAGATTTTGTACATGACCGTTTATAGTCACTGTTGTCTCCATCACACACTCACACACACACACACACACACACACACACACACACACACACACACACACACACACACACACACACACACATATTGTGCCAGAGCACATAGACAGCTCTAGTGCTTTTGTATCTATATTACAGACCTTCACAGTCAAAGTGGCCTTAGGCAGGGCCTCTCAGAGGAAAATATACAAAAAACAAACAAACAATTCAAGTCACCTCTCAGAGATTGGTTATTGCTGACACAGAACGAGCACAGGAAACATTGAGGAAGAAATCTAGCTCTTTAAAAGACACTGATGTTGATTCAGTGCCTATCAGTGCAACCAGCAGTACCACTCAGGGCCATAACAAGTGCAAGAGGCTTGTTTGGAGTGATGTGCCTCTTGAGCGTCACAATCAACCGAAAGACAAAAGTATATGATGTTTTCTGCAGAAAGACACACAACTCCCACGCGTGAGAAGTACCTCTCATCTCTATCTGCATTGTACTGGCTTCAGCTCCTGCTGTCTTCACCATCTCCCTCCCTTCATCCCCTTAAGCTCTTTCTGTCGGTTCACTTCATGACTAATGCTGCACTCTCATTACCCAGAGTCCTGCTGTCGACTCTGCCGCGTCTTCATCCTCTTCCTCTCTCCCTCACTCTCTCTTTTCTGCCCACTCTCTGTTATTGCTTTTTACCGTTTTCTATTTCTATTCTGTCTTTAGCTCTCACTCTCCCTGCAACTCACACATGCACTCACACATACAGAAACTCAGAGTGGAACATCACAGAGGAGTTTTGTTTCAAAAAAGACAAACCCACTATTTGAAAATAGCGACATGAAATGGTGACTGGAATGAAAGTAGGTTTCATTATGAAAAGCTTTTCAGCTTCTTCAGCTTTTACTATATGGAGGATAAAACCATTTGCACAAAAGATTGAGATTGATATACAGCCTTGTGGAGCGATTTACACACATTCATGTAACCAGCACATCTCTTGTAGGCTATACCCACTAAGTGCTGACATTTGACTAATTAAATCCAAAACCTGAAACAACTTTCATACGATCATTGTTTTATTGAAGAGATTGCTTTCAAAGACTAATACTATTATTTTAGTGAACATTAAGAGACATTAAAGCCCTTAAAAGGTAAATGTAATTTACACACAACTTAAGTCATTAAATAAACAGTCTACTACTCCGGGGAAATACACTTGTTTGCAGTCTTACTGAAAGTCAGATGAGTCAATGTCATTACAGAGAAGGCCGAGTACAGTTTTAACCTAGCTTAGCACACAAACTAGAAGCAAATTTAGCACAGCTCCAATGATGTGCTTTCCAATACCTCCAAAGCTGTGAAAGCCCATTTTGGATGAGATTTATTCTTTTAAGGGAATAGAGGTGATTTTAGTATTGCATATATGCTAATAATAATATAATAATCAATGACCCTAATCCTGTCCCGGGCTCCTATTTATCAAACATCTTAGAATCCCTTTTTAGGGAATTGTGCTGAAAGTTAACCTCAGACTGAAAACATTACTACCTTACAGTGGGACTGAACTATTTATGAAGCCTCCTACACTGACTTCCAAGTCCAGAAGTCATTACTTTGCATCATCTTTCCATGGAAAAACATTAATGGAAAGGTATTATTTACTTTGCATGTGTAACCAAAGTGAAACAGTATGTCTGACCTTTGCTCACAAACTATCTGCATACATGATCAAATAAATATTTATCAGTCCATGTAGACCAACAAGTAGCATGTGAAGGTCTGTAATGAAACCTGCCTTGCCTGCCTTAATGAACTGCTCCAATGATGATCTAACCCTGGCAGACAAATGAAGAGACCTGAAATCAGTAATCTAAAATCTAAATCATCTAAAATGAGTCAAATATAAAGGCTATCAGCAGGTCCATAAAAAGATCCTCTCCATTGATCAGAAGCACATATAGGTAGGGTATACATATGCATGAGGGCATAGTCAGTTCTATGTTTTAGGGCTTTGTGCATTAAATTTAACTCTGTTGACAGCGATTATCAGTCTGGCCCGTCACTCTCCTTTAACAAGACCCTGAGTGGTTTTAAAGAGAAAAGGCCTGTTTGTTTGGTACAACACACTCTGCAGCCTCAGGCCATGTTTACTGCTGACAATATCTACATGGCAGAATAAGTATAATGGGTTCCTGAGTGATTTGGAAAAGGCTGCCAGAGAGACAGCCCTTTTTTGTGTGTGCGGTTGTTTGTCTATCAATTAGAGTGTCGATTAAATAAATGTGTTTGGGCTCCATCTTGCCGCTGGCAAAGAGCGGAGCTGTCTAGAGACACACCTACAGGAGGTTCCCAGCCAAAATCACTTTCAACACTCTCCTGCTCTAAAAAACACGATCACACAGACATACTGGGTTCTATTTGGGACTTCGATACGTCTAACAGCCAAACCACATACTGACATTTTGTTCCATCACACAGGGAGCTTCGTTTAAAGCCATGTGTGCTGTAGTGTAGTCATGCAATCCCAGGCAAAACATTAAGTTTTGATTAAAATCAAAAAAAGCAGCACACAAAACATTGGATGCAAAAAAAATTAAAGCAAAGCAAAATTTTTACTTTATTAATGGTCATTGTCATTAACTTTGATGACATGAGTCATCAGTCGAGAAACTCAATTCTCAGCTTTTCACTCCAATCACGTTCCTTCTTAGTTTTTTTGGTAGCACAGTGTATTTGCTGCTTTGACAGTACTCAACTGCCATCCAGCGAGAGTGACTCTGGGGTGCCCTGTGCTGCATTAGGATTTTATAACTGAACTATGACCAGGATGCAAACCTTTCATTTTTCCGACTGTGTTGAAATCTGATATTGTCATATCACAAGTGGTGGGTAGAGTACTGAAAATCTATACTCTAATAAAAGTACCATTACTGCCATAAAAAATTTCTTAAAACGTATCTGGTTAATAGATTACTCAAAGTACAAGTTACTCTTTACATGTTGGTATAAAAAGTGGCCAGATGTGGCAAAGGATAGTCGCTAGAAGCTTGTTCTGGGTTTTGCTACATCATCACATCATGGTCAAAAGACAGGTGCACCTTATTTCTCAAGTGGGCAGCTGCAACTTGGCATCTGCAGTGTGCTTCTCACATAAGCTCTACCCTAAACTCGATCCCATTTAGAGCAGACTAGTTTTAACAAAGCTATAATAAATGCAAATGTAGTGAAGTAAGTTGAGTACTGGCTCAAAAATATACTCTAGTAACTTAACAAGTACAATTACAACCCACCCCTGCACATCACAGATGATCAAAAAAAAAAAAAACCTTAAAGGAGTTTTATGTGGGGCAGCAAAAGTAGGAGGAGGCTGTGAATAAAATGACTGATTAATGAATTCTATTTAGTTAGTTTTATCTCATTCCCATTTACACTTCTGTTCCCAAGTACCGCATACCTTTTCTCTTTATCTCCTGACTAGTCAGGAAACAGATTCGACAACTGTTTGGTTAATGTCAATAAAAATTGCAACAAATGTCTGCCCTGCCTCTAATATTGGTACTGTGTTAGTGGTTCCTGGGCTTGGAAAAGTTCCTGTGGTGGGAACAGGCAACAGTTCTCACTAGAACTCACCAGCACTAGTTATCAAATCATGTGCCTTTAAGGTAGCATGACTCCGAATTGAGTTGATGATTAAAACTGAACACAAACAGGCATGAGGGAATGAGTCAAGAAGAGTGCTGAACGTGCTGTCTGTACACATGAGGACCAGCTCTAATGTAAGGGCAACACAGGGCCACATGCACAAGAAAACATCTTCAGTTGTCAGATAGTCAGAGAAGTGAGGACAGGCGGGAGAAGGAGTAAAACAGCAAGGATACATGGCGTGTAAAAGATTAGTGAGACAGGAAGGAAAGCAAACAGGCAGTCAGACCGTACCTTCTAAGACAGTGAGCTTGGCACTGGTGTTGATCTCTCCCACACTGTTGGTGGCTGTGCATTCATAGATGGCTTCATCGCGGTGGGTCCTCAAAGGCTGGATACGCAGCACCGAGCCTGAGCCGTCATCAAACTCAATCACCTGGCGAGATGAGAGCAGAGGATTGAAGTAATCATCTGTGACATTTTCATACACATTCATTCATTTACTTCTCTACCAATTTAAACACAATAAGTGTTTAACCTAACTCTAGAAGCTTTCTCATTCAATCAAAAGTTGAAAAAGATTCCTACCAACAGCTCTAAAGTTTCTGTACATGCTAAAATTTAACACAATTACAATTAAAAACTATTTCTCCAAGAGCAATTCTTTCATTTGTCTGAAAAAGTCAAACGTGTTCTTGGAGGTTTACTATCCATATTATGTGATAAATGGGCATCCACTGCACTTGCAGCATTACAAGTATCCTCGACATCTTAACAAAGTTGACAAACATATAAAAGCACACAATGACCACACCTACGTGCAAATGTACTACTCTGTGAACCACAGGTCATGTTTCAGTAGGCTTTTAGCCATTTGCATTACTAATAAAAAAAAAAAAAAAAAAAAAAGCGAGATATGCGTTAACCTATAAGCTTTAAAGCTGATGGCAGGGGATGTTTGAACTTTGGAGAGAGTGAGGCTAGCTTCTCTTGAAAGAAAAGCAAAAACAATTCCCAAAATGTTGATATATTCCTCTTCAGGTTTTACTGGTTTACTCTGACATGTATTTGAATTGCTATATTTATTTAATGGACCATTATTTTGAAAAATGGCCACGGTACCCAAAAGGAAGGATACACCGATCAGCCATAACATTATGACCACCTGGGTGGTCATAATGTTCTGCAGCCCCATTCCAACAAACTACAATGCACTGTTTGGTCTGACCCCTTTCTATCAGAACCAGCATTAACTGTTTCAGCAGTTTGAGCTACAGTAGCTCATTTGTTGGATCGGACCACACGGGCCAGCCTTCACTCCCCACGTGTATTATAGTACCATGACCCTGTCTCCGGTTCACCTCTTCTCCTCCCTTGGACCCCTTTTGATAGGTACTGACCGCTGCAGAGCGGGAACACCCCACAAGAGCAGCAGTTTTGGAGATGCTCTGACCCAGTCGTCTAGCAATCACAATGTGGCCCTTGTCAAAATCAATCAAAACCTTGTTCACTTGCTGACTGATATATCCCACCCACTGAGAGGCACCATGATAACCAGTCAGTGGTCATAATGTTGTGGCTGATAGGTGTACGGTTATATTTATGTAACTCTTTGGTTGTACATAGTGCACAAGGCCACACAGACATCATACATTATTCCTTAACACAATATGGTGTTGTGAGACTGACATTGCAAAATATAGAATTGTTATAAGGCTCTTGTGCAATTGCAACAATGCATTAATCTGTTTGAGATGTTGATTAGAGTGAGAGTCCTAACCTCAGAACAGCTGCAGGAGGACGTATACAGGGCTTTAGGAATGTCAGGGGGTTAAAGACTCAGAGGTCAGGGCACAGGGCCTTACATTTCCGCCCCACCGCAGTGTTTGTGACCCAACATGCTCTAATGAAGGACTTGCAGAGCTCCATTCTCTTACTGCCATAGTATGAGGTCAACTCACCCCGCACACAGGAAAGTCTTCAGTCCGAGGAACACTTAGCCCAAAGGAGAAACATTCCTGTTACTCAGAATGACATAACCTAATTATAAAGCCCATGTAAAGGAACTCGGAAAAGGGGAAAAAAAATAGTACTGTAGGAAAAACAGTACTTATTTGAGTAACACTAAAATCAGGTCCAAGTTCAAATTAACAGATTAACAAACCAGGTTTGGGTTAACCCTAATCCGGATCCATCTCCAGACTCAAGCAGTTTAGCTCACTCCAGCAGAGATCTGTGTCAGGGGTATTTTAACAAGAAATTCAGTGATAGGTGTCGAACAAGCAGAAATAATTGTGACAACAGCATACAGTATTAATTCTGCCAGTGCAACTGTATTTTCTACAGATTACATTCATGTGCAACTCACTGGCAATAAGATAACATTTTCTTGATGCTCAGTGGGGAAAATAAGAATAGAGGTGCAGGAGGTACAACATTATGATGCTGTGAAAGACAGAGTTTTTGGTGGAACCAAGCACACAATGCAAAACATTTATAAATTCAACTTTCTGTAACAAAGTGCAAATTTAAAATCAGAAATACTTTATTGACCACCAGGGTGCCCAGGTGGTCATAATGTTATGTCTGATTGGTGTAGATAGAAAGAGATATGAAAACAAGGTACAGGACGTAAACTGAATAGAGAAAATCCCAAAACAACAAAACAGCTTAGCGAGACCATGGAAATGGTGCTGAAGCTATCTGGTGGATAGTCACTTCTGCTTTGATGGTCGGATATAGAACTCCACTAGTACCACCATGATTGCTCTGAAAGTGTACGGCAACGGTACCTAACCTTTCAGACTTTCAATTAGGGTATGAGTCTAGCACCATAAAAAGACCCTATTTTCACCTGATATTAACATTTGATTTCAGCTATGTGTAACTTTTCTTCTAAGTTAGGGTGTAAAGTTAACAGTGGAGGCTTAGTAACTATACGTTGGTTTGTAACTAAGCTACTAAATTGGTTGATTACTTTCAGGTATAACTTAATTAGTTTGGACATAACTAAGGCAAGCGGCCAATCAACAATCAAAGATATTGTTCCATCATCAAGGTTACCGTGCGCATCATCTTTCTGGCTGACATGAGCCACTTGGCTTTGTAGAAAACTGTAGTAAGCTAGACGGTAAATGGACCTGTACTTGTATAGCGCCTTTCTAGTCTTCGAAAATGAACAGAAACTAACATTCATACACAGTCACACGGCATCGGGAGCAATTTGGGGTTCAGTATCTTGCTCAAGGATACTTTGACATGTGGCACCAGGAGCCAGGGATCGAACCCACAACCTTCCGATTAAGGAACGACCCGCTCTGCCTCTGAGCCACAGCTGCCCAACATTGAAATGCCATACTAATAGATGAGGTCTCTATTGGGTGTTGCAAAATTGCTGCAATTAATGAAAAAATAATTCTGTGTGGCAGAAAAACTGCAGTATTACCACCAGTGAGTGTTATTCTGCAACATGTTATGATTTACACTACCTTAGGGGCATGTGTAACTTTTGAGCTGTTACTTCAGTTAAGTTGTAACCTATCTCTATGGTACACCCACTTCAATCACAATTTAGTAATAATTTACGTTACAGCTGGTGCAACAGGCTGGTGTATATGCAAAGACCCATGATCAGATGTCATTATCCAGAAAACCTTTCCAGATACACATCACATGTTAACACCATGTGGTGACAGGTTCACAGATTTATCCAGTCTACTTTACTCTAACTCTAGAAGTATGAACATCTAAATCCTAAAATTAAAAATGATTAGCCATTTAACTCACAAAACAAGATTGTAAGATTGCTTCAACATTAGATGAGATCAATTCATGCACAGACATATGATATGAGGAACATTTCACTAGAACACAATATCTTCCTATTGTATTAATCCATCAAAAATCTAATTCTACTGAATAAAATTGAATAACAGGGTAGTTAAAGGAGAGGTAGAGAGCTGGACTCTACCTGCACTGGGAGGAGGTACACCCACCCCACACACACACACACACACACACACACACACACACACACACACACACACACACACACACAGGGTAGCCATCAGTTTGAGTAATGCTGAGCAGACAGGTGGAAGATAATTCCTATTACTCACGACGACATGAACCAAGTGTCTTTGTCTACGCAGGACTCATGTTGAGTCACTTCACTTGAAGTCATTTGGGTTGGCTGGCAGCTAATGAGCCTTCCTGCTGCTCCAGAGTCCTGCAAGAAGGCTTATACAGTCCTATTAATTAAGCAGTTGCTGTGTGCGTTAATGCAGCTGAATGCATAAAATATCTAGATTCTGGTCGGTTTACCAAAATGCACAAAGATTCTGCACATTCAACTGTATAAAAGACACAGCAGGAAACAAAGACTTCTAAACAATGCCTATGTATTTTAGACATGGCAGCTGGTATTTCATCACATTGAATATTTTGTTCACTTTATCTTTTTGTCAAACCATCAGGCAGTTGCATACAAAAATACTCAACACTTTTAGATAACATCTGACCAGCAACCTTATTAATCAATTAAATATTTAATTTAATTTAAGACTTGATCTTTAAACAACATAATTCTTCAAAGTAATGCTTTTCACAATGTTTATGCCCACTTTAACAGGAACAACCAAGAGGCAGCCATCCCTGCAGACCACAAGTCCCTCACATTCTCCCCCACCATCGTGTGTGCTGCACTAAAAAGGATTAATGCACGGAAGGCTGCTGGCCATGATGGCAACGCTGTATTTTAACTGTCAATGGCCCAAACAGGCTTTTCCCCACATGCTTCAAACCAACCCCATCATGCGAGTGCCTTAACCACTTTTGGCTTGTTGCACTCACCCCCACTATGAGGAAGGCAACAACAGGCTGATTCTGGCTAATCTCAAAAGCTGCCTACCACCCACACTCGACACACCTACCGCTAGAAGAGGAGTACGAACCTTACGCACCTGGACAATAGCAACACCTATGTGAGGATGCTGTTCATCAACTTTAGCTCAGCATTCAACACCATCACCCCCCCTCCAAACTGATCACTGAACTCAGTGACCTTGGCGTGCAACTGGATACTGGGATTCCTAATCATCTGACCTTTTTTCCCCCCGAGTTTTTCAAAAGGCACATAACAAAAACTTCAAAATGTTGTTATTAATAACTGCTAACAATTTTTTTTAAAAATTGTATAGGGGCAAATAATAATGTTTGACCCACTTGTGTGAAAGTGAAAACAAACATTAACGTTGAACCCTGGGCATTATTTTGATAAACTGACTAGCTATTGAAATCCTAATGATTAATAACTCCTCTGAAAACAAACGCAAAAATTTGATAACAGCTGTAGTATGGAACAGCTGAACACACTCATGGGATTCTTTCTACAGTGGAAATCAAATATTATTCAGAACGTTCTTCCCAACACTGTTTCAGAAGTTCCCATAAATCTGTGGCCCTTGTAGGTTGCTTTGCTTTCACTCTTCTGTCCAGTTCATCCCAAACCAGCTTAATGTCATCAACACACAACTTTCTGCAGTACAATACTGTTCAAATGCTCACAAGGATATGGTACCACAGTGTGTTTCAACACTACTTTTATGCAGAGGGGGTTGTAAAAGAGCCAGAGCCTTCAGTTACCAAGCTCCTCTCCTGTGGAACCAGCTTCCAGTTGTGGTTCGGGAGGCAGACACCCTCACCACATTCAAGAGTAGGCTTAAGACATTCCTCTTTGATAAAGCTTATAGTTAGGGCTGGATCAGGTGAGTCCTGAACCATCCCTTAGTTATGCTGCTATAGGCCTAGACTATCGGGGGGTTTCCCATGGTGCACTGAGCTACTCTCTTCCTCTCTCTTTCTGCACTCATTCATGTCCCATTAATGCATGTTACTAACTCCACTTCTTCCCCGGAGTTCTTGTGCTTTCTCATCTCGCAGGTTCTCATGGATCCTGGTGGAGCCTCCTGCCATGGTCCTGCTTGACTGCCATTGCCAATACTGTTGTTGCTGTGCACCTGTCTGTCTGTCTGTTTCTCTCTCTCTCTCTCTCTCTCTCTCTCTCTCTCTCTCTCTCTCTCTCACCCCAACTGGTCGAGACAGACGACCACCCACCTAGAGCCGAAGGATCTGTCCTAGGTTTCTGCCTTTTAACAGGCAGTTTTTCCTTGCCCTTGTCGCCAAGTGCTTGCTCATGGTGGTACTGTTGGGTCTCTGTAATTAATGTTTTAAAGAGCTCGGTCTAGACCTGCTCTATTTGAAAAGTGTCCTGAGATAACTTCTGTTATGAATTGGCGCTATACAAATAATTAAATTGAATTGAATTGAATTGAATTAAAAATTAAGACAAGTTGGGACACCTGTGGGAATTGGTAGCACCAACTTTCAAAGTTTGATCAACATCCATTGCTGCAGAACAGCTTTAAGTTCTTCACCCAATTCTTGTTCCCTGAAAAAGGAAATGTACATTATTTTTCAGTTTTGGGTAACCTTACCTTTTTTTTTTTAACCTCTGGCAGTTCACCACTTACCTTTGTACCATTTCAAGCTGTTCATTGGACTTGAACTGCTTGAATTTCAATTAAAAAACTCGAAAAATTGGGTTGTTCTAAAACTTTTGACCAGCAGTGTAAAAGCCATGAGTCTGGCATTACTGTGGCATATAGTTGATGTGAGAGCATGTTTTGATACTTAATGTACTTAAAGTCCACAAACACAGGCTCGGAGGCAAACTGACAAAGGCCCAGTATAAATACTGGTTCTGTTTAATAACATGAGAAAGTCATGGCTGCAACATGATCTGTTCTTAAAAGTAAACAACTATACAATCTGGGTGTACACAATGAGAAAATCACATGAAGTTTGTGTTTTTACCATCTTCCTAAAAGTACTTAAAAGCAACAATGTATAGTAGAAGTATAATTCTTATGTAAATTTGACAAAAACTAAAATAAGCAAGATAAGCTTATTCAAGCAAGTTTACATTTTGTGTTGGGTTCATAGAAACATGAAGGAACATGTGGCCATGGGCTCTGGGAACTTGTTGACATTTCTCATTATACAGTTACAGTCTATTTTGCACATTCATCCATGGGCCTTCCCACAGCCCACTCGGCCTATAAAACCTTTGAAACAGTGAAGAATAAAACACTGATGCTTAACCTTTAATTATTTGCTGCTCTGTGGATAATTCGTCAGAACTGTAATGTACTAATGTTATGAGTCATATTAAAATATCAAACTGCTGGAACCTTGGAGGTCTGACATTAAGAGGTGTCATGGTACACTTCAGTAAACTTGCGCTCTCACACACGCAAAAACTGAATAAACCAGACAGCCTGTCACGTGCTGGCCTCTGGCTCCGCTACACTGAGTTATCACAGTTCTGCTCTCTAACCTGTCAGTGACACTTTTTGACCTACAGAGACTGAACTCACTGTGATGCTGAGCCTCAGGTATTCTCATTAGAATATTGCAGCTAACCTTACTTGCATTAAGTGGTCTTCAAACAGACTCCAAATACCAGAAAGCTGTGGTATATATCTTTCAGAATGGCTGTAATAAGTTAATACAGCCCCAGCATACAGCTCAGCCTCACTGCTGCTGAACACACATCCACCTGAGAACTAATGTTGAGACACTATACAATTACAGCACACAACCTATCCTGCATTGTCTCTCTGTCTTAGATGCACACAAAAGCAGAGAGCTAATGAGCAGTGAGGGTGTTAGAAAGAAAGGTTCTGCACATTCTAACTCATCAAACAGGGAGCTTTGAGGCCTGCTACCAAGTCATACCTCAAAGCGCTGTGAGCTGACTTTCTTCCCCTTCTTCATCCAGGTGATGCGAGGTTTGGGCTCACCCACCGCCTGGCATACGAACGACGCCACTCCTCCCGAAATCCCTGTCTGATCGTCAGGGGACTTGATGAAGCTGGGCATGCCTAAGGGAGAGAGACAGCGAGACAAAGGCGAGGGAAGGAAGAGAGGCGAGAGCAGGGAAGAGAAGATAACCAGTATCAGATGAAGAGACCTGACAGAGAAACAGCTCCAGGCAAGTTACAGGGATTTTACCACACTATATCTGCTGTAGTTCTTGCAATAACAATATGCTCTTTCAACAGCTGTCTCTTGCCTGTAGCCACACCTACTCAAACACAATGCCAGTAAAAACAGCAGAGCACTATCCTTACCCTCATAATAAACAGCACCTGTCAGTCTTATTAATATTGGCAGGGAGCAGGCGGATGTGAATAGATGGACACAAACCTTGAAAAATCTCCTTTGAATGCATGAATAAACATGTGTCATAGAACAACACTGAGGCCTGAATTCACTGGTGTGTGCACTGGAACAATAATACTGTACATCACCAAAATAAAAGTCAAATAAGTGCTGTGCATGGATAATAGTGCTGCTCAAAATAAATCTATTTACACTTTATGTCGTGGTCATGAATCTATATAATCTATTGGCATAAATGGAATATAATATTCATTGGTATATTTTCATGTATAATCACCTGGAAATAATAATTGTTATGTTTTCTTTACCTTAGAATGAGGTGTTTTTATCTACAGAGTGAAAAAAAGGAGTGCGCCATGTTGACCACCATGTTCTAGAGGTGCCAATGATGGACAAACCAAACACTGGCCCGTGTGGCTCGCCTGGTGGGGCTGGTACACCATGTGCACCGTCCTTGTTGCAGCGACCCAGGGTTAGGGTCTGACCTGTGGCCCTTTGTGTGTGTCATCCCCTCCCTCTCCCCCCTTTTCCTGCCACTATCCAATCAATTTTTAGTGGATTTTAAAAACCAAAACAATACTGGCTGTAGATAGGGCCTTTTGTGATTTTTGCAACCACAGAAGTTTCTTCTACACGTTTAGAAAGGGAGGATGAGGTGAGCTGCAATCTCACCGCCAGATGCCACTAAATTCTACACACTGGTCCTCTGAAAGGTACTCTGTGGTGGTTTTGATCACTGGCAGCTTTACGGTGCAACATTTTGATAAGCAGGCCAGCATTTAGTTTGTATCTGGTGTCATGCTCTATTTGAAAAGTGTCCTGAGATAGCTTTTGTTATGAATTGGAGCTCTACAAATAAAATTGAATTGAAGAGTTGTTTGTCTTATTGTCTGTCTGTTTTTTGTCCTGCCAGACATCCTCTTCATCAGATCTCATCAGTTAACTTGTACATTGGCTGTGCTAGTATAATAGGAATAAGTAATGATGGACAAAACTACAAAATTAAGTTTTAATCAATTAACAAACATTCTCCTTTGTGCCCGAAAATGAACAAATAAATTATTCTATGAGTAGATATAATCCTTTAAGCCACTCGATCTTTAGCCCTGGACAGTTTAAAACTAAGCTTTACTAAGCATGTGATTTCATCATTTACTCATCTTGACAAACAGATTATTCTTAGCTGGAGTGTGTAACACTGATGAGAAAATTAGATTTCTCTTAGGAGTCAAATTTAATTTTGACACCAGTTATTGCTCCAAAAGATAATTGGTCTGGTCTGATAAGCTAGTCTTCTTCAGTGTTACTTATACTACTATTGTTCTATTGAGTCTTTGTGTCCCCACTCCAGTGTTGAATTCTGGGACATTGTTTGGAAGGACAGCCGGTCGTGTCAGTACTCCATGGTAACACTCACAAATGCTCTCCTTCAGAGACAGCAGTAAAAGTAGGGTGGTTAGAAAAGTAATTATATATTCCACAGTGGAGTTCAACAGGCAAAAAAAACTGAAAAGTTTCACATCAAAAGGCCACACGTCCGTCCCCAGAGAAAGAATCATAACGCAGGTGTTTTTGTTTGGAGGTAGAAGCGGCTTCTTGAGAGCAGGGTCAGTGTATGGCGACAGGCTGAGGCAGGTGGATAATACTTGAAGCGGTGGTGCTTGAAGGCATCAAAGTATTGTCATCCAGCAGTTGCCCCCTGCCTTGCTGCTGCCCTCAGATTGTCCTCTTTTGCAGAACCCACAGATCAGTCTTTTTACAAGCTGATGCTTGCCTGCCTTCTACTTGTGTGGTTTGTGGTTCATGGCTCGTTTCCATACAGGACCCAATAACAATACATACTGTCGCAGGCCACCCACACTTACAAATTAAGTAATTTGATTCAGGAAGCTCATGGTGGATGAAATGTCAAACTACAGTGATGTCCATATGCAATCCAGCCAGATTTACGTTATTATCAACACAGAGAGGAATGTACATGCAAACTGCTCACTACCAACACAAAATGTATCTGCACAACGTTGTCAACATATTTCCTTTGTTTTCCTACAGAATCTGCAGCTAAAGCATCACTTATGTTGTATGTTATCTGCTTAGGCCACTCAAAGCACTTTGATATAAAAGCCCGGCAGATAATCCCTAAAATGGTCTGTCCATATATGAGGGCTGCATGATATGGTAAAAACATCATATTGCAATTATTTTGAAAAATATTGTGATTGAAATATGATATGCAATTAGGAAAATTATGGAAATTATCATTTTTGCATCAAAATTTGATTTTCAGAAAAAAAAAACATGATGTGAAATTTTTGGGGACCTGTGCCTAACAAACATTTTTATTGATATCAATGATATTTCCATTAACTGTTCAGCCCAACCATATACTCAACTGCATAAATTGTTCTTGTATCAGCAAACTAGGGTGTTTTCTTCCCTAGAGAAAAACTGATGAAACTGGTGAGCCATGCTGAACAGATAATCATAACACCAAACCATCTGAACAGTAATGTGGGGAAACATTTTGGATACAGAAACACAACAGAAGAACTGTACAACCTTTATGCTACTGTGTATTTTAGGACAGTCCTAGTAAGGGAGAGTTGGTGGTCATGATCTGTACAAATCTGCATACTGAAATAAAGCAAGGTGGAGCATTTTAAAATTTACAACAATGGCACTGTAAATGTGGAACACTGATCAATGGTATGGTATGAGAGCAATGTTTTCAAAATTCTGAGCTGCAAGAGGAATGTTCCAGGCAAGGTTAAATCCTATTTCCTCAGCAGGAATCCATGAAGACCATTTTTCAGTCAAGGCATGATATTTTCACAGTAACTTTTGGCAACTGATAAGTGTGCTTTTTAAAGTTCAGTGTGATTCAAAACCCATTTGTACAGCCAGAGCCAAGAGCTGCTCCCAAGGTACATTTCCATGGAAATCCAGTCATACAAATTGTGCAACAGGTTACGGTAGGGTCCTGAGGATGGTCATTGTACTGTACAGCAGGGAAATACTGCCCTTTACAGCACTATGCAAAAATAAGTTAGCATGCGAGTCAAGCCAGCACAGAGGTTTTTATCAGAGGTTCCAAGAAGGCAGAGGAGGTGGGTGGAGAAGAAGCGAATGGATTGTACCATTATTAAGCTATTTATTTCCCATGGCTGCTGTTGGCTGACCCTGAGGCTTGACACTCTAAATGTAAAACAAGCCAGTGCCCTCGCCTCACTTTACTGGCAGCTGTGAGTTGTCTCTCACTTGCATTCTTCTCTGATCCTGTGCTTGCCGTTTTTCTTACAATTATTTCCTTAGGAATACGTCTGTTTGACCTCACATATAATCCACAAAGATAGACAAAAGTAGAACTTAAAGAGTCTTTGAATCCTGTGTAGAGAAACACGGTACTATATGCATCATAATCATTTTTACTACAACTGCGTGCAATTTAATGTAAGAAGATATTAGTCTCCATTGAAAAGTGCAGATCAGAGTGGAAACGTGTGGTTACAGACCATACTTGGCACTGTCAGAGCATCTTTTTCATTTTTGTTGCAAAGTTGTCTTTACTAAATCTAGTGGATGGCTAGCTACAAAATGTTCTCACACCAAAAATTCAGTTCATTGTCAGTTCTGACTCAAAACACACTCACAACCCTGTCTACTAAAACAACTCGCAAATATAACAACCAAATACAGAAGCAAAACCCACTATCAGATTTATAGTGCCACATATTGAGGTGCAGAGATATCTGGATGGTGAGAAGATTAGAGAGCTCTAGAGCACATTAACAACACCCAGCTAATGGATCAGCCTCTGCCAGTTGCTTGGCCGACGGCTAATGGCTTACCCCTTTCATTGAGTTCATAACACTTACAGAGGATACAACTACCGTGACCTTTGAACTTCTCAAAATGTGTGCAAAACTCTTTATGTAAGCTCTACTTAGCCTAGGGCTACTAGAACCACTTTAAGAAGAAAAATCCACCCTTTCACATGTCTGGGTCACGTTTGTTTTGTGTTAGAGTTTTTTCTTGCTGCTTTTGGTAAGGACAAGTGATGGCAATGATAACACATCATGACTCCACATTTACCACTGACGTTGAGTTGATTTGACTGTGACAGTCCCTCACAATCAAAAAGCAAGGGCTTCTTTCGCACCATCCTGTATTGACATTCAACATTTATGCATCGCACATCCTACTTGGCTTGTGTTTTGTCCAATTGGGATTATTTTGCTAGGATTTGGGGGCAATAATTATTATTATTATAATCATTTCCTGGGGGGAAAGATGTGTTGATTTGCAGAGATTTCTTCTTTCCACTATCTAGTCGCCATTAGAGCTATATCTTGAGCCACTTCTGAATTAGTTCTTATTGCTGAGGAGCTTACATAAAGCCTACAAAGTAGAAGTCTACCAAATACTTTTAATGTTGTTTATTATTCTGACTGTAGATCAAAATGGTCAGAAGCAAAGGTGCAGTATCTGAAAATCATCATGTAACTGTGATATTGGACAGCAAGTATGTCATCTGGAGGAGGTGAGAGATTGAACACTGACTGATACGCAAACAAAATGATCCAGAACCCCAGGGCCACAAAACAGCTACACATGCGTGCTAGTATGGCTTAGCGTGTGCCAAAACGCCAAACCACTCCACCCTCCTCATTTAGTGGCTGATCTTTGCATAAAGCTAGAG